AAGCTAAGCGAACGATTCGATTACAGACTTCAATGACTCTCTCTACCGAGGTCGAAAACAGCACACATCGAAACACTGTTCCGCTTACCGTAGCGTGGCTGCCTTTCAGGTGTTCATTAAAAGTACAGACTAAGTGTTGTTTCGATTGGATGGATCCGACTGATACGAACGACCGTTCGCATTTCGTAGTTTTTCTAGTTCATACTTTCACCGTTTTGTGGGTAAAAGATTTAGTTTGGTGAAGAACCGTGTTATACATCCATTCCCCACCCAGCAGTGCCCCTCCCAGTTTTATTACACACTGTGCAAAGCGGCCTTCGGCCGTTGTTTTCGAATGGTTCGCCGTGCCACCCTTAAATATGTGCCAGATGAGGTGTCAGATGTCGATGTTGCGCTTCCGCCAGCGGGTGTGGTGTGTCGAGTGTTATTTTGTAGGCGTCACTAGCTCGTCCTCACCGTTTTGTGTGGGGCCTTGGCTTCCGTCTCCTTTTTGGATTCATGCACATTCTGCCCATGCCTTGATCCGTCCATACCTTCAGTGCATGCCTGTCTGCCTCGGCACACGCTTGAATTATTCACCTAGCGTTCATTACTCATCTCAGCGGCCGATCTGACGAAACGGGTTTTACGATACTGTGTCCGTGTATGATTGCCAGTTCACAGATCTGCGGTAGCAACGGCAAATAACCTGCTTCCCAAGCCCAGGTTCCTTCTTCCTCAACGGTAGTAGGTACTCAGCATATGTACACATCGAAATGTACAGACCTGTCTCTCAGAATTTCTACAGACTCATTCAACGGATCATGTGTGAAAAGCTGACTTTACTATAGAATCCGACGTGAAGAACCTCGACATTTTAAACTGGCACATTCTTCTAACAGAATTTGCCAATTTCATCATCAACTACTAGAACTATTTAAGAGAAATGAAACGCATCGCAGTCCGGCAAGAGATGGGGTAATTCTTTGCATAAGACTGTTTGATGCTTGCTTGCCGACCGTAAGTACCGATGATCATTAAGCAAGATGTGGCCCAGTCATAGTGATTGCCGCTCGGTAATAAGCCCTCAGTGACTCCGGACATCCTTTTCACAACGATGAAGTGACTTGGATACCTCAACACCGGGAAGCCATCTCGTAGCGG